AAGTGTTCATTAACTTAAATGACCCAATTCACCACAGATCAAAGTGCTACCATCAATTTTGAAAAATAAAAAAAAACATAATTTTACATTGAAATAGATGTATCAAGTGAAATTTCGAATAAGGCTGTTATGCATAATCCAATAGTTTCAAACATGAAGATACATAGAGGTTAATTGTAATTGTGTTCTGTTAAATATCTTATGTATCTCATTAAAGTTCCTGACTATATTGAGTGGGAGAGAAAAATTAGTAGTATCATGTGTTTATACACTCACACACTCTCTCTCTATTATGAATTCCTGGCTCCGCCACTGCTCATAACCGTATCCGAAATGCGGATACAAAAGGGATACAGGAAAACCTTATAATATTGAAAATATATAGTCCTTACGATACAAGAGAGTTCATTGTTGTGTTATTTATATCCGAAAAGCTAAGATTAGATCTCTTGATCATCAAAATTAACCTTAAATATATTATTCTAAAGTTGAAAACTATTGCACCCATTTGACCAACATATATTTAGATATTTCGAATATGTATACAGGTATTACACTGTATAATTGCATCCACAACCATATCATATCAGATATATGTTAGTAATCATATCCTCATCCTAACAAATACGAATAAGTTCTCACATACTGAATTTTTTTTTTGCAACCCTAATTGTTAAGGTACTGAAGTGAAACTTTTAGAGATACATCTTCTGAGATGAATTAGCAGAGAGTAACGTCTCGGTGAAGATCGAAGGCCGACTGAGTTACTATCTTTTCCTTTTTATAAGAGTTAAAAAAAAATAAACTTTAAAGTTATTATTTCCAATCATGCTTAATATCATGGAACAAATAAAATTCTCAAGGTTATATACCAAATCAACTCCACCTAGTTATCTGAACTCTACATTGATGGACAATACTATTGCTTATAGAGAGTAACATCAACCATCTTATAAAACCAATCATTTACATCTGGCGTCCATCGTTTCTGATGTCTAATCCCAACACAGAAATACAATGAAGAAAACTATCTGCTTAGATTTCTTATATAACAAAGCACACTTCACATGCACGAGACAATCTGCTCACAAAACTAGCAAAATGATTAACCTTTTAAATGACACTGACAATCTCAAAAAGCCAACATCCTCAAAAATTAGTGTCAAACACAGGCACATTTCAAAATGAACTTTCAGCACTCTCAGCAAGAACCAAGCAAAGGAAAAGGAGAATATATGCTGCAGAACACTGAAGAAAGGTTCATCGCAACCTCTTAGAATGAACATATCCACGTCACCGTGTAAATCGCCAATCCTGCATTAATAAACATATAATTATGTATTAAGCTCTTTTACAATGCAAGAAATTGGTAAGTGTCGCGTTACAACTTATAATAACACATTTATTTGGTGTAGGAACTTAAACATAGCTTCCACTGATTCCTATGTGTTTCGCTGATATATTTTCTTCACCAGGGTACATCATTGGAAAGTGGCTCATGCTCATTTCGGTTAAAGAATGCCATTGCTGACATCAAAACTCCTCAGATCAGACCAATTTCCTTGGTTTTATAAACTTTAGACAAAACAATTGGTTTCGTTCCTGTGTGATTTGGGTTATTTATCATAAAACATATGAGACAAATCTTGGTAGGTTACAGTTTATTACAGAAGCTTGAAGGAATGACACAGACCTCGGTCTCATAAGAAGGCTATGGATAGACAATCTTGGCTATCTCGTAAAATCTCAGAACGCTATATAAATACTTCATCTTGTACATGTTTTCAAGATGAATACTGGTTTACATATTGCAAGTATTGAACACAAATGAACACATATGTCATGCTACGAAAGTGTAAAGACACACCAAATTTCCATTAGAAGAAGTGACCATGCACCATAGCTTTAGAGGAAGGTTATTATAATCATCTTCAATATCTGAAAAGTTTCTTATTATATTTTAAACCAAGAAATTTCACAGAAATCTAGACAGATAAGTATAAATAAGTAACAACGGAGCACCATGTCAACCTTGACAGACCATCAGTGAGTAGGTTGAACTACGCTTTCTGGTTATATGGTTGAAGCTCATGCAACTGTAAGAGGAAACCTTCAAATTCCCTAGGAATGAGCCTTCCCAATAGCGATGGAGATGCAAGATGCTTTTATTTTCTGTTACGATCATTCTATGCACATTGGAGACAAACGAAAAGCACAGTACCGGTATTGCATGTGCAAGGTCATATGAAAAATCTAGTACCCAATTCCAAGCTAACACACAAGAAGAGAACAAAATTGGGAGAAGAATCATACTTTCAAATGAAACATAATTGATTCTTCCCTAAAACTAGATACAGTCTCATGAACATGTTATCCTAGTATTTATGGGTAATTACTTTTTCCTCCATGGCAGCAAAATATAGTATGAAGTTTAGTAATGCCATAACTCTGAAAGCTTACCCCCAATCAGACTAATCAGGGATGATCTCCACTTGACGGACGAGGCCAACGAGCTAACTGCAAAAATAAATAAAGACAAAGATACTGACATAAGCAATCTGTCTTTGTACCAATCAGTCCTTAAGAGTCTAAAATTTTTAAGCCCTTGAGCATTGTGGTTTTACATATTGATTTGGTTTCAACGCTACAAGAATAAAAGATGCATGTTAATCAACCTGGATTTCACAACATAAGTTTGACATTCGACAACAAACATGTGAATGTTATATTTCAACTTCATAAAGTTTAGAGCTAATAAAGGTTATATGCACAATGATGCTGCATACAATTCTAGAGCATGCATGCAGCAAGATAGCAGCATTGATTGATGGCATTAAATTGTCGGCAACAGGTATAAAAATAGAAAGATAAATCTGGAAACTGAAATATTTCAGGAAGTTGAGAATGTATTAGTTGAGAAAAAAAAATTTACAGATATTTGACAGGATAAGACGAGCATACTTATTAAAATCTTTAGAGAATCCTTTCTTCTTGTCTAGGAAAAGGGCTAAGATCTCTGTATAAAGAATGATGGGGTGATATCCAATATGCAATCTATCATTTCAAAGAGCTACCAATACCAAATAGTCGTTATTGCACAGATCTTTTCTTGGAAAATGATAGTACAATTTTTAATAATCAATTCATTTGCTGACTTCTCTATGATTAGAAATATGGCATTAGCTATATATTTCTCTATGACCAGAATCTGCAATGTCGTCCGTGGGATTAATTAGCTGACAATAACAAAAATTAAAATTAGTATCCTTTCCCTCTTAGACTAAGCTAAAGCATGTGGAAATAAGGTGAGTAGAGAGAGCACAGAATTTCTTACCCGAATCACAGGTAGAAGTGGAATTGAGGCCACCTGGACAGATGCACACCTCACTAGTGCTCTGTGGATCATATCCACACACTCCTCCTCCTCCTCCTCAGGTAGAGAGTAGCTTACCCTTATACCATATGACCATTCTCCCGGTCCTCTTGCCCTCAACGGAGCCAGATTATACGCACTACTGTACCCCTGGCACTGCAGGTGAGTCAAATTAATCGATCGGATTGCACCAAACTCCAATGAACAGCACTCTGGTGGGCTAACAGATCCATAAGCCGAGTCAGCTTTCCGGGGACTCATGTTGCTGAATTCCCATGCTGGACATTGGTAATACTCATCACATCCCATACCAGAGATGTTACGGCAAGGGAGGTGCTTTCCAGGGAATCCTTAAATAAATAATTAAGAGTATGTCGTTAGTCATCAGCTATAAGGAAATATATAAACACACAAACAGATACATGATACGTACCTTGAAAGAGTGGCGAATCAGCATGGCAGCCGAGCAGCATGAAGACGTTATCCGGAGCAGGGGAAAGGTAAGGAGTGCGCCATGGCTCGACAACAAAGCCACTGGCAGTGGAATTTTTGGAGGACAGAGAGAGGGAGTAGCAGTCTGACATGGAGGAGTCATGAAGGGTGAGAGAAGCGTAGGCATAGTCGATATCCAGGACTCTGTAGGTACCAGAAGGGATGTGAAGCATAAGCATTCCATTCATGCAGTAAAGAAGATCGCGAAAGCCTGAGTGACCGCAGCCAGGATGGAGACCAAACGGATAGTCTATCGTGATGTTGCCACAGTAGGATCGACAAGTGCCCGTTACAGCTGGAATAGTATTGTCATCGTCGTTGGTGGAAACTACTAACTTAGCGGAGATGACGAACAGGACAGCGAGAAGAACTAATGGCAGCTGAAGGCTGGGATTCGTCATGGTTGCAAGAGAGATCCTGAGGAAGAGAGAGGGAGAGAGAGTAAGCCTTGGATTTGAAGAGAACTGAAGGGAAAGATGATTACATGAATTTAAAGAAGATATTCTTTCCTTGGTTGGATGGATTAACAAAGATATGCTGTTGCTGCTGCTTTTCTGTATCCTCTTCCCCTTTCTTTTGACGTGTGAGGCTAGACGCTTTTACTGGCTTCCTTTGAATGCTTTTAGCTGCTCGTGAATTTTCTAGCAAGTAAAAACACCCGAAATTCATAGAAAAAAGTAGGCGAGATTAGTTATTATTTGCATGTATAATAAAGAACAGGGATAGATTAGCTAACACACCTTTACCGTTGCAAAGCAGGGATGCAGACTTAACTGCTATTATATAGTGCAAAAAGAAAAAGAAAGAGAAGCATCAATAATATCCATGGATGGCTGAAGCGTGCAAAGCTTGTGATCTAAAGTGAGAAAGTGTTCACATGCCAAACTCTCCATGCACTGACATAATGTTTGACACATACCAAGTACCAACCCTGGTTCTAAATTGTACATAAATAAGGGGAAAAAAGAATCTTCAGTGGCATTCTCAATACAATGATCTCAGCCCATGCACGTTAGGTTCATCTAAAACTGCAGACCCGACATCCCTGCTTAGCATAGTATCAACTTGATTAGTAGTCACAGTAAGAGGAACAAAAGTCATAAATTACATAAGATGCAGAAAGGAATCAAAAAAATTTTAAAAAATTTTCAAAAGACCCTTCTTATTTAACTCGAAAAGAACGGGTGCAATATTACATGGATCAGTCTCCTGACAAATAAATAACAGTTAACTGGCATACAATTGGCCTCTGCCCTCTAGGCTCCATCAAGGCTTAAATTGTTGAAGCAGTCACTGATTTTATCAACCACAAAACGACCTTACAAGGACGAACAAGTATGACCATGTTTAGGTGAATTGATTGAAAGGTATTTGTAGGTGCACAATAGTACATCTAACTGGAGAATCTTGCTATTTCTGCAAGTTGCTTGTTGGCAAGGAACCAGACTTACAATGAGGAGCATTCATCAAAGATCTTCCCTATTGCTTCCACATGTTGAAATCCAGTATTCTAAACTACGATTTTTCTTTCTGAAGATTTGTTTCCAGCCTCTTTATTGCAGCGCCAACTCCACTCATCTCCCCTGCTTCATTCGAGTCGGATGATATTTGTTTCCAGCCTCTTTATTGCAGCGCCAACTCCACTCATCTCCCCTGCTTCATTCGAGTCGGATGATAATTTAGCACTTGCAAACTCCACTCATCTCCCCTGCTTCATTCGAGTCGGATGATAATTTAGCACTTGCAATCTCTTCATTTGCCTTCTGTTGAAGTTTTAACTGTACCCAACCTGTAAAGCAATTTAACCTTGTTAGCTGGTAGCCTGGTATACATGTCAGTTCTAAGCTTATCAGCAACTTGACAGTGATTTAGCATGCCAATAATAATGCACGTAAGAAGAAACATCACCAAGCACAAAAAATAGATGCATATGATTCTATCAAATAATTGCAAAAATTAAATATGACATTATGACAAAACAACAAAGTCACGATGAAGTCCAACTTTATTCAATTTCTGGGTCGGCTGCATGAATTTTCCTCCATTTAGGTCCATTAAGGACCTTCTCTTCAAGTAAACAAGCTGGTGCAATTACATTTATTGCCTTAATACAGTTTAGTTTTGGTCTAGCACTCTTAGCAGTTAGCACTCACAATTCTAGATTTGCATGTACAAACAATCACGTAACATCATCCCCCATCTTATAACATGATGCCTGCACTTAGTATTAGCGATGCCATTTATTGTTATCTTTTAGCCTGTTGCTGTTCAACCATCTCAATGTTTTTATTACAGCCACACTCTTTATCAGGCATCTTTTCATAGTTGCAACCTTTCTGAGAGATGAAGCATATCTCTGATACTTCACTTTGATTTAACGAGTATTTTATGGTAACAAAGTACTCAAAGGCCAATGCATCTAAACAATCCTGCTTTAATCATCTTCACAACATCTTCCTTCTTGCTATTATCAAGGAACACTCTAAGCTATTTCTTGGTCAATGGTCACAATTGTGAGCTTCAATAAATTTTATAAAAATATTTTATTGAGTAACATCCGAAGAGGCGGACAGAAAGAGGAGGCCTTTGCTCTATCTGCTTCTTCTGAATCCCGGGGAGGCCGTTGTATTTGGCAAGCCCTTCGTATGCCAGCCATACTAAAGAAGCTAAGTGACTTTCGTCACCCAAGTAGTGAGTTTGAGAGTGACGCGTAGGGCGACTACTTGTACTTCTAGGCGTTGGCGACCTATAGTCTTGTTACGCAAGACGGCTTCACTCGATTCAGTATTTCAATAGAACAAACAAGCCCACTAATAGCTTAGATAGTGGCCCTTCCACTTTGGTGTAGTTGACCCTACCTATTGACTCAAGGCGATGGAATCCCGTAGCTCCGTAGCTACAGCCCGATGGAATCCCTCTCTTACTCAAGGCTCATAGGAAGAGGGAACCCTTACGTAGTGGGATGTAGGCTTCAGTCAGTTGTTTTGGTCCTTTTTCACTACGTCTTATTCTTTTTTTAGTAACCGGCTGTTCACCGGCGCGTCAGTAGGCCTTTTAGATAGAAGGCGAACAAAACGAAAGTTCTCGCGGGCGCTAGCGCTATGTTGTTCGCTTTTGTCAACTGAAGTCGCGCGTAGCGCCAACTAACTTGATAGCAGATAGAGCGCGGAGCCCCGTTTGAGTCGTGCGAGCAGAGCCGTTTCTTTTGTCGTACTACTCAAAGAAAAAGAGTACACAAAGTGCGAACGGCATTCTGTTGTACAGCTACTTTTGTATAGTGACAAGTAACCGGTAGGTGACTTTTGGAATCGACAGTAGTGACGAAAGGGGGAAATAGCTCAGTTGGTTAGAGTGCTGGTCTGTCACGCCAGAAGTCGCGGGTTCGCAACCCCGTTTTCCCGCGCCGATCCTCCTTCCTCCGGGCGCCTGCCCGACCCATTTGTCTTCACTGGAAGCTCCTGATCCGGTGTAGCATTCAATACAATTCTTCTTTCTTCGGGTCTCCCTCCACCCCCTTCGTTTTGTGTGGGTCGCGTCTCACGCAGGCACTTAATGAATGAGTGGAGATCCGCCTTCCCCCCTTGCTAATACCAAGGACTTCGTTGCCCCCCGTGGCGAAGAAAAGTCTACCATCCCACCGCGGCCCCCGGGGGGTTAAGGTTCCTCTCGGAGACTGCCAGTCTACAAGAAGCTGGCAGAGCTTTAGCCATTGGACCACATCCATCCTCCTACCTAAACTGTAACCCTTTTCTTGTTTGTTCTTCGAATTACGCTAGTGGAGACTAATTCCTTCCGGCTAATGGAAAATACTACTCCAGTCTTCCCATTCATTCCCAGTTAGATCCTTCTTATCCCTTTTCATTGAACGAACCAAGTTCACCTATACGAGAAGTGAGGAAGACATTTCCAACAATCAACTCCCACTTTTGATGTCCCGTTTGAAAATTCTGCTGCGTCTTTCAAAAAAAAGCGAGAAGGACAGGGGTCGCTAGGTCAGAAAAGCTAGAAAACGAAATTCGAATTCAGAAAACAAAAAAATCTCCCCAAGTAGGATTCGAACCTACGACCAGTCAGTTAACAGCGACCGCTCTACCACTGAGCTACTGAGGAAGAACTCCTTAAGGAAGCCGACTCTCGTTCTTTGGACCAACCTATGCACCGAAAAGAAAAAAAGGTTAGTCACTTTCTCTTTTTTCACATACACCGGGAGAAAGGGTGACGATAGCAATCCCTTTGCCTCCCCGGCCAGAGAGCCTCCAGGACAGGACAAGCGGGGGCGGCGGTCAACCATCCACTCTCGATATGCATATTGATCAATCGATCTCCGCGTCCTGCCAGTTCGCTAAGTAGACTCACTCTACGAGGGGCAACAAAGGGCGACCGCGAGGGAGGGAACTATTCTACCAAAAACAAGGTTCTTATCTAGGAGTTTGCAAGTATGAGAGAGTCCTCTCTCTGTCTGTCTCTCCGAGTTTCTACTCCTAAGTTTAAGTTAAGTAGCACTTCATCCCTTCTAGAATAGATTCCGATCAAGCAAGCAGGGAGAAGGTGCGTCCTTTCATCTCTCTGCCTGCTCCATGCTGTATACCTAAGGTCATGAGCTGGTTTAATGCTAGAATACATTAGATCTGGCCCAGTTATTTCGGTAGATGAAGTAGTGGGGCGTGTTAAGTTGAGAATTTCGAACATTGTAGCATTCTTTTCTAGTTGGTTTGAGTTTCGAAGTTTCAAGAACTTTGCGCTGAACTCTAATATGAAAATACACAAAAGAAAAAGCATCGAGCGAGACTATTCTGTTCCATTGTGGAATGAGAGACAGTTTTTGTTTTCGACCAACAACATCTACTCATATCCAGCTTCGTGTCATTTTTGAAACACACGCATCAGCAAGCAGCAAGCGTAGGCTGAAAAAGGCAATACTCTCACGTTGGCGGTCGGGGCGGCGCCAAAGCAACCCGGGACCCCGGAGGGGTCAGTACTCAAGCGCTGGCGCCTTCTTTTGAAGTGAAAAACTACAGGGCTAAGCTTTCAAAACGCGCATGCGCTTAACGCGCTCACAAAAAGAAAACGGCTGCGCCTAATAGAAACGGCGAAAGCCCGTTGCTTGTTCGTTCTTTCAGAACCTTGCGCTTAGCTTAATCCGTTGCTTGTTCGTCCTCGGCGCGCGTAGCGCACGTAGGCTTTGATGCTGGAGTTTGCTGTGGTGGGGAGAAGCAAGCCGAACCTCTGATCGACCCGGGACACATCCAAAATTCTCGGGCGCGTCGAGAGAAAGACGAGATTCCGTAAGTAATTCAGTGAGTGCCTTTTTTTTATTTATAAGAAGGGCCTTGGAAGAAAGAAGCAAAATGAAATACGAACAACCGCGCTGGTCGTAATAGATCGACTTGAATGCTGGAGCAAGAAGACGCATTTTCAAGTTCCATTTCAGGGAAGGGCAGACGTACCATGATACTTTCTGTTTCGTCGAGCCTGCTTTGGTCTTCTGGTTTGATGGTTGTACGTGCTAAAAATCCGGTACATTCGTTTCGTTTCCCTCCAGTCTTTCGCGACACTTCTGGTTTACTTCTTTTTGTTAGTCTCGACTTCTCCGCTATGATCTCCCAGTAGTTCATATAGGAGCTATTGCCGTTTCATTCCTATTCGTGGTTATGATGTTCAATATTCAAATAGCGGAGATTCACGAAGAAGTCTTGCGCTATTTTACCAGTTAGTGCGTATTATTGGACTGATCCTTTGGTGGGAAATGTTCTTCATTTTAGATAATGAAACCATTCCATTATACCAACCCCAAGAAATACAGCCTCTCTTAAATATACGGTTATTTGCCGGAAAGGTACGAAGGTTGGACTAATTTGGAAACATTAGGCAATTACTTTTATACCTACTATTCCGCTGGTTTTGTTTTCCTAGTCTGATTTTATTAGTAGCCATGATTGGGGCTATAGTAACTGACTATGCATGGACTACAAAGGTGAAAAGACAGGATGTATCACGAAAATGCGTCTTGATTCTAGGAGGACTATAATGAGGAGGACGACAGACCAAATCGACATCTCGCCTCACGCCTCCCGGTCGGCCCTGTTTGCGACCAGCGGGGGGGCTCCCGGTGGGAATGGGAGAGCCTTCGCTATCGCTCATGACTTGTATTGTAGTCTCTGTAGTCGAGTCGGCCTGCCTCCTTCATTCGTTAAGCCAGTAGCTTCCGCGCTGCCTACAGACGTTAAGCTTCGCTCCCCCCCTACCTTTGAAAACCGCTACTGGCCTGCTAACCAGGATCGCAAGGTTAACCTGACTATCATCCGAATCTGTATCTTTCCAGCTCTGCACCTTATGTAAGAACAAAAGAAGATTCTATCCTCTTTAGAAGATAGGGGAGCAGAGTCTTTTGTCTTTCACTTATGTTAAGTTAAGCCGCTTTACTGAATAGCTTGACCTTAATAGCAAGCCGCCGTCTATGGCATCTAGCGTGAACCGGGAGGGCGGAGCATACGTAATAAGGAAAATGCCTGAGGAAGAATTAGCCCCAGGGTTTGATAAGGACTGAGCGAGAGGTCGGGACGACCGCGGCCGAGCCAGGATGGATGGTAGTAGGAAAGGAGGCATAGCCAAGCAAGACAACAGGGAAAAAAAAGAATAAGATTCGAACTTCACTTATAGCAGTAGTGCAGTAAGATATTAATGGGGGGAGAGATCAGCTGTTTGCGTCTAGAGCTGAGAGCGAATAGAAAGAACGCATAGCGAGTATGATTCTCAAAGGAGGCTCTGGCGGGTAGTTTGATGATGCTCTGTTGCCTTGGCACTTGGCTGATTTAAACGACAATCCTCGAAGGCGCATCTTTCTTAAGCTGAAAACGTGACTTTCATAGCGCTCTAGGTCTTTGACGTGGTGATCTAGCCGAAAATACGAGAATTACTTTTTTTTTGAGACCGCTGCGAATTAAATGGCTTTTGAGACTCCGTTTTTGATTAACAAACAGGTACTCTTTCTGCCTTCACGGCGTAAGGATCATCTGACTGCTATGAGTGCTCTACTTACCTCGCATAGTTGGTCTTAAGGCAAGTAGAAATCCCTCTTCTCAATGTGGTTGGCCTAAGGCTAAGAAAGTATTGAATCGATTGATCTTCTGCTAATGGCTAGCGCTCTTTTTCATCTCTAATCTCATCTCATGCTTCAGGGAAAAAGTGACTAAACCTACCCGCTATAATCTAAGATTATGGAAAGGGTGGACTGCTCTCCTACGATTTCAAAGCAGCATTTTTGGTCGATCTTCATACAAGCAATTAAGTGCATTTTTTCCGCTCTTCGATTGTAGCCAAACAGAGTGCGAGGAAGCCCTGGACTGTTCTTCGCGTGTAGTCGAGCCAAAAAAATTCCTGACATGGCTTCTTTCCCTCCCTACAGGGTCAGCTCGATATCGTTAGTCATATTGCAGCGTTAGGGAAGCGTATTACAGCTCACAACCATATGAGGGGCCTCCATAGCACTGAGAAATTAAGCCGTGAATGACTTTCAGCCCGTCTTTCGCGTATACTTTAAAGCTTGTTGTAGTATGCCGTGCTCTTGCTTCCTTCCCCGTTAGCGGTTCTAAGACGACCAGTCTTCAATATCTGGTTTAGGCTGCGGAGTGGATATAGCTTAACAATGACTTCGCCTTCCTACGGCATGCGCAGAATTCACCAAGTCATTTTTTTTGAACTGCCAACCAAGAGTTCGGCGTTAATGTCCAGTTAGATCGCCTTTCTAGCTTTCTGCTGGGCGCCAGTAGAACCTTCCTCAACGAACCGTCTGGTTCCTTCCGATGGTTCGTCTAATAGATTAGGAACTAATGTTCCTCACTAAAGAAAAGCAACGGGGAAGCGTGCGAAGCCGGGCATCCGCATTCAGAATCAATCAGACAGTCAAAACAACGGACCTCGATGAAAAACAATTGAAATCATAGGTATTCTTTTTGGAAGTAAGGCGCTGGCTTAAAGCCCTTCTCCTCAGGTCTGATTATATGCTCGATGGTGGTCGGCACATAGGATTTACCTCTTCCCTACCCTAATCAACGGTGGGCGAGCCCGAAAGACTCTATCTATGTTCGTACTGCCGGCTCCCAATCCAAAATAGAAGCCTTCGCTTAGCACTGACTCTCCTAAATGAGCCAGGACTGACTACTGTAGTTCACTTTGAGCGCTAGAAGCTTTTCTTCTTCTCTCTCGAACAGCCTGCTCACAGAGGCTAGAGACTAGGTGGGGCTTACGAAAGCTCACATGCGCTCCATATCCGTACCGCGCCTTTCAAGGGCCGGCACTGTCAGTTTTCTTTGTAGACTCTGCTCACTCGAAAATCCAGAAAGCAGAGTAAGAGTTGTTCCTCTCTGTCCATGTCTGCTTTTGGTCTTTTCTTTCGTAACGAAGTCTGAAACACAACAGTCTGAGCAATGATGTCAATCCCCGTCTTTCTGTGTGGTTCTCACTGATCATCTGAACTGAACCCTTAGGTTCTCTTGGCTCACGAAAGCTCTTCTTTTCCTCAAGAGAGAGCGCGGGCACGGGTCGTTCGTCAGACGATCGGATAGTTGACACATCGCTTAGGCAAGCGTCAGATAGAGATCGATCAAAAAAAGGAAGAGCGGCCATTGAGGCTCGAGAAACTAAAGGCGATAGGCCAGTCAGGATACGAAAGCAATAGCTGAAGCTCGCTCCAATAGCGGAAAAGCGGCAGCCCTTTTCCAAGACCTCAAGACCTCCAAAGGGCGCTACTACGATCAGAGTGTAAGGAGCCAACTCTATTGCGAAAGAGGCTACAGGGGGAAAGGAAGTGGGGAATCTCTATGCGTAAGGGCTGTCTTGAAAAAGGATGAGAGGTGGAATTCTCTATCACTACAGATCTGCAAGCTCGCAACGTCTTACAATGCGGTTGAAAAAAGGGTCATGACGGGCCAGGTGATCTGCATGTTGGCGCCTTTCTTGACGGTGCAATCTCAATAGAGGTCTTTACAATCCGCCGGAAGCTTGTCAACAATGCGGATGCGCGCGCAGTCCTTCCCATTAGGGAAGCGAAGCACCAAAAAAGAGTAAATCGCAAAGGGGAAGGAACCAACTCAGCATGCGGAAGGAGACGATTGTTGAGGCATACAGGGTGGCTTGACTCGGCATTGCTTCACCTCGGCTTGACTGACTTTCATTTCCAACCGAGCATCTGGTTGCTTCCCAATACGAGCTGCGCGAATGCGTGCACCTCTTTGAAAGCCTTGCTTTCCGGCCCTGAAGAAAAATTCATTTTATGAGACTGAAGACTTCCGCTTTCTTAGTGGGGATGAAAGATTATATGAATTAGAATTCGCATCCATGTCAAGTCAGGCTAGTCAATTCAACTAATCTTGGTCCGCTCTTTGCATCAACTGGATTAGAGCTAATGCCTTCCACTTTCCGGTTAGTCAGAAAGCGTAGGCGATAGCCGGAACAACTGGAACTGTAGGCTTGCACTCGAGTGGCGTATATATCTGTTTTCGGTTCGATTGCGTCCTCTTTAGAGCTTTAGTCCTTTTAGTTATGTCGGCTAGCCGCCTGTCAGCATATTCAATACTCACTGTCCTCGGCCCTTTTTTCAAAGTAAGAAGCGTGCCCACCTTTTTCCCGGAGTCATCGAACGGCAGGCCACAACAGAAGGAATCAACATAGGGAGTTAGCTTATAGCCGTTTCGGAGGACAGCACTTTACCTCGCACTGGATCTCGGAAAACCATCCTCTCAAACACAACCAGTAAAGTGCAAGCGCTTCACAGAAGGCATAATAGGAGATTTCATGGCCTTATCTTTTGCAGAAGCTATATTTCTTTGAGAAGAAAGAAAAACGATTTTCGTTCTGTTGTGAGGCTGCATTTTATGCTTGCTAATCCATCGTCGTCAGTTCCTTCCCTTCTCCGCAGAACTGGGAAGCGAATTCACACGTCACTGCCAGAAAGAGGAAAGATCCTTGAACGAGATGCTGGGGAGCTCAGCGCTCTTTCCATTCTACGCGTGTCAAGTTGAAGAAATGAACTGCAGTAAAAGAATGAAGCTGCAATTCATTTACTCGATTTGTCTTTAAATCAAGCATCTCTCTAAAGCCATTGTCTACGGGCTTCATACGCTCGAAGGAGGGCTGGACACACCGGACCACATTGTTCTTCCGCTTGGTATCTTCGGTGAAAGATAGCAAACCATATCATATATGCATTCGTCTTCTCTATTTTTGCTGTCGAAGGTTAAAAAGATAGCTGAAAGCCAGGCTTCGCCGTTTGATAATATTTTGATCAAAATAGACATGTGCGGACATCGACGGCTCGAGCCGCATTTCACCGAATGTCAGGCTTTTGTCAACATTCAAATAATTCGCCACTCACTCGTTGGTTGGATCTTTCTATTCTGTTATTCTTAGACTTATCCTTCTTTCAATTCCATTCTTCGTCATCCCTGTTTCAGGTCTTTTTCTGTCCCAACCAACATTTTAGAGATGCCGATCCAGGGCGCATAGAGCGCTCCGCAGTCACGCATTCGAGCCACGACCTTTCTTCGCTATGTAAAAAAAAGGGACGAATAAGTGCAGACACCCTCAACAAAGAACGGATTAATTGTGGGCTTCGGATTTGAACATTTTACTCTTTCTTTTTTTTTTCTCAGAAAGTTATTCTTATGATCCTGCGCTGTTATAACACCACAATATTCGTCCTTGGTCGTTAATGCCTTAATGTGTGACATCGATCATTCGCTATCCTTTTTTTATCTGAGAGGACTAGTAGAAGAAAAGTAATGAACCTTCGAATGGCCTACTGAATAACCACCTTTTGTATAACCTTTGCACTTTTAATATCGCCCTTTCGCTAAATTCTCCTATGCTTCTGTTCGCCAAATCTTACTTCAGTTCCATCCCAAAGCTCGCTTTGTTGAATCCTTCGTGGCAAGAAGAGCGAGTTCAGCACACTTACATCCAGGGATCCTTACAAAATCCATAAACCTGGCGGGCTCCAAAAGAATACCCACGCCGCCTCTTTGATCAGTGAATTCACCGGCCACGTGAGATCGATGAAGAATCTCTCCAAAATACCGCTTTTTGATCAGTGATTCACCAGCCACTACATTCAGTGCGACTCCCCCTTATTCTCAAACCTGCTGGCTGCGGTTGATTGGCACTTCCTGTAGGCCTCTCTTGCATACAAATTTTGGGGCGGTACCAGGTCCTGCGTCCACAACGAACATTTCTTCCCCTTAAGCTTTCAAGCGTAAAACGGGTGTAGGTCTCAGATATGTGGGTCCATCATAGCGTTTCTCCACGACATAATAAGAAAAAGAATTAGATGCTTGGCAAATGATCGACCTCCATAGTGCTCATTATAAGCTTAAAATGATTTTGCACTGTCCTATCCTATTCATCAACAAGCATCAGCAGCGGACACGGACAGGTTAAATAGAGGGTAAGTTAATAAGCTAAGCTTGGAGAACCAAGACTGATCGCACATAATCTTTAGAGAGTACAAAGCATCATCTTCTTATCACGATATTAAAAAAACAAATAAAACTATTTGCACATTCCAACCTCTATAGCTTCCGTGCATAAGCGCAAAGGATCTATCTTTCTACTACGTCACATACTAGAATCAAACAAAAAGGAACTTCGCTTCCTAGGAACTATGAAAACATTTCTAATTGGGGCATATGCATATGTATATTAATAATTAAAATGCTCGTTCCGAAACCTATCACTCGGGGGCCTCTTTCTTGCCCCTTGTCTTTCGTGTTTTTCCGTTAGACATCGGCATACAAATTCGCAATTCAAATCTCGAGATGGAAGATAGCGACTGTATGTTTCGCGGTAATAACCGACGAGTAGACGACTGAATTTAAAGATCTTCCCCTTTTCGACAGGAATGGACTTTTTTTTTAGGGTCACTATACTGGCTACTTCTTTCATCGATCTACGGTTCATAGAAAAGAGAGGTTGCTAGCCGCCTCATTACCCTTGACCGCGATCAGGAATTGAATTATGTGCTTGCATTATTATTCATCAGCAGGTGCGGGCCAGACAGATAATGAGAGCCAAGTTCATCCCATGTCGTTCTTTTCTTCTTTTCTTCGAAGGGGATCTTGTGCAGAGTTGCATATCAAATGCCTCTGTCGCTAAGCCAGCTTTGAAATATCCCATGAAGCCGCAGGAACAGAACCAATTTGCAGTGCGGAAAGCCGCCGCTACTGGAGGCATTCGATCCGATAGCGGGAAGCACATTTCTCCCCCTATTTTTATTTTTTTCTTTTAGAGAAGTCTACATGAAAGGCGTAGTGGAAAGGGCATCTTTTTCATCGACCTTGGTAGTCGCTTATCTCGCCGTATGAATTTGTTTGTGAATGCGGGTTCTTACCCCTTTATTCGTAAGTATGCAGTATGATTTAAGAGTAATACTAGCGAAGGAGGGTTCCCCAGAGGGGGCCCGGCGGCTAGGAAGGGAATGTTTAGAAGATGCGCAGCGAAAGACCGACTCTCAGCAGACGAGCGCCGAGGACTTCCCTTCGGGATGTAGATCCAGCAGATCGACTGGGTAAGAAGCCCCAAGTCGAAAAATGGTCGATAATGCAATTTTTTCAGCCTGTAAACACGTGTTTAAACATGGGCCGATGGGTGGGGAAGCAAAGCTGAATTATCGCGTTTGCAGCATGGGCAATGGGTGAGTTTGATTATGTGAGCTGTAGCTTCCTTTCCAGAGGATGAGGAATGGCAATGAAAGAAGCATAGCCATTCTTTTTGAAGTGCCGCAAAAGGGCCAGATGTTTCATTGCGAATTGACTTAGATAAGCAGTTGGAGAATTATGCTAAGCACAGCGGCGCCGTTTGCAAAAAAGCACTGTCACAAACAGCCGGTGCGTCAAACTCTCACAGTGCCTATCTTATTACCTACTGACGTGCTTGCAAGAGTAGAGCCCATGGGGATAATCCCATTCAGTCAGTAGGAGCCAGGCATGACACAATCTCACACTCCAACAATGGAACATGATGCCTACCTCGCACACCTCAATGTCACGAGAAAGCAGAACGTGAAAGCTTTCACTCTTCTAAGCGTCGCACTCGGTGACTACCAACTGCCTCACTGCTCGAACTGAGGGATTCCGAGTCTTCCACCAACTGGCTCCTGGTCTCTCTCGAAAAACCCGGCTCATACCACCTCATCTCGTTCTGACGGCCATTGGAAAGTTGTCCCGCTATAGCGACTTTTACCCCTCTGAGAGTCGACGCCCAAGACTGACAGTCTCCTTCCTTCGCTCAGAAGGCTCTGTTTGCCGCTGCTTTTTTAGCATCGTGAAGATGTATGGCATAGCCTGGTGACACATTGATGTGAGAAGGCCCTACACATCCCGAATTGATCGTCGAACGCTCTGTTTGGTCCTACCTTCTGAAGAACAACCTTGATCGGCATGCCCCTGCCCTGGCTGTCAGCTCGGTTAGCATCTTCACCCACTGAGAGTTGCTTTCCCGCACTTGAGTGGGAAAGATGATTCGCCATTTCTTTTGCATTGCCCTATGCAAGATAACGAGCGATTCGAACGAAGACGGAGGCCCTATACAGAATCAGTTCAGCTTAGGAAGCGCGGCGTGTTCTCAACTCAGGAGAGGAAGCAAGAAAGATTCACTCTGCTTCCCACCGTGGAATTTAGGCAGAGAGGGCGAACATCACCTTATTCACTTTGTCGTCTGTAGGCGCTTTCCCATTGGATGACAAAAAATTTTCAGTAACACAAGGCACGGAGCTAAAGAAAAGGTTATGCTTCTTGTTTTGTACATAACCGGTACTGCGATGAATTACGAAAAAGGATGACTACTCCCTTCCCAGCTACCCGGGAGAGGTGAGTGAAACTTTCGATCGACTTTGCGGTCATTTCATTCCGCTGCACGAGGAAATTTGAGGGCACCTCCGGCTGGTCACTCAAAGAGTCGGCTAAAGACATATAGTCTATAAGCCAACTGTACTTGCTCATCATCCTTTTAGACTGGAGAGGCCGACGGGATGCCAATCCAATGGCGGCAACCCGGCTCAAAAAAGAAAATAGCACCAAAGAATGCTGGACCGAGTTAGCAGCTAAACCAACAAAGCTTCAAGGCCATGCCATTGGCGTGCAAGGCCCAAAGATCTTCATAAAAGTTGCGCTTTCTTCCATATGGAATGGTTAATAAAGATCAGACTACCCATCCAGAAGCCTCAGAAGAGAGGTATCTTTGTCACCTATCCCTTTGCCGCTTCCAGCCTACAGTTAAAATGCCGTAAATATAACTTCTCCCTTATCTCAACAAGGCTTTCAATCAAGCAGCAGCCGGGCTCAAACTTAAAATTGGCCTATTCAAGTAGCTACTCCCATTAAAGAAGTCCTCTCGAACCTCTTCAACAACACTTAAAGGCGGAAAGACTTCAAGACAAACGAGAGCACGGATTCATGAATTGCAAAGTGTCTTTCCGGTCGTTTCCAGGCATGACAGAGATTGATTCCAGCAAAGAAACTATCTGCCTATTAAGTAAGGGCCCGAAAACTCTTACATTACCCCCTTCGGGGGGCCCGGGTAGCGAACCGTTCTCAGTTGGAATTTCATTAACCAACATGATTTTGGGACCGGGGATAAGGTCATAGCCTTCTCAGTACCAACGGGAAGGATTGCTTTTATCTAAGCTATGCCCAGCAATGGGATTTCAGAAAGATCAAAAGGAAATAACGTCACTTTTGTCGCTTACTTTAGTAGGGGCAAGTTTTAGGCAGCGGTAGGTATGCGTACAGACCGTTGGAAAACTTTAGCCCTCGCTTGGCAAGATTGTAATAACCTGCTCCAACAAATCCGTCTAAATCACGCCGCCGAAGAAGCAGCACTTGGCTTTTCCGAGGAAGAGAAGAAAGATGAATAAAATGCGATTTCGCCACTAAAAAGAAAGAAGCCTAAAGCAAAAGCTCTCCGCGCACACATGGGGCAGATACTTATTAAGTAGAACTCGTAAGCGCACCCTTGGCTTTATTCCCGCTTTGCGAGCTTTATTTCTTTGAAGTCATAATCCTAGTTACAATTAGAAAACATTCATCGGATTGACTGCCCTGCTATTCTTTTCTAGCCTCCGTTTGTTTCTTCAGAGAAGACCGACTCTGCATTCATTCTGCCTGCTGCCCGACCCGTAGTGCAGCCATGCCTTCCTGCTTACCGCCGCTCCTCTTCAGTTTGCTCCGGCTTCGCCAAAGCCTCTATGCCGTGCTCAGCACCCTTCACCTGGAGAAGTTTAAGCATCACCGTTTGAGCAGGCCGCTTACATCACAGCTCCACAGACCACTCTTATCGTATACGATATACTCTCTCTTTTTTAGTGGGCTTGTTTGTTCTATTGAAATACTGAATCGAGTGAAGCCGTCTTGCGTAACAAGACTATAGGTCGCCAACGCCTAGAAGTACAAGTAGTCGCCCTACCGGTCACTCTCAAACTCACTACTTGGGTGACGAAAGTCACTTAGCTTCTTTAGTATGGCTGGCATACGAAGGGCTTGCCAAAGATCAACGGCCTCCCCGGGATTCAGAAGAAGCAGATAGAGCAAAGGCCTCCTCTTTCTGTCGCTCTTCCGAAGGAATTGCATGTAGAGACAGTAAGTAATTGGGGCTTATAGTTTAATTGGTTGAAACGTACCGCTCATAACGGTGATATTGTAGGTTCGAGCCCTACTAAGCCCATCTGACCTGCTTCATCAATGACTCCGGTAGTCACCTGAACCACTCTCTCGGGCCTCTCTTCTGAATGCGAAAGAAGATTCGATCAACGTGCCAGGGCTTAGCCTCTTGTGAGAAGGACGGTGATGAATTGTGTTCTCAGTGCAAAAGTTGACTCTGAAGCTGCTGTTATCAACTCTCCACTGTATTATTGTGAAATACTGAATCAAAAAAATCATTTGGTCTACCAGACCATCAGCACGAAGAACATTTGGAGCTCAGTTTAGATTGTATTATTATAAAACCAGTACACTTGAATACAAATATGTAGCAGCATACTTGTTTCGAAGTAACTATAGAGCTCGCATGCACTTATGGAAAGAGAAAGCACACAAGGAACACAAGGCACACATATTACCTAGAGGAAAACAAATTCCAGCTCCCAGGACAGAACCAAGCAAGACATTCCTAGCTCTCCACATGGCAGAACCTGGCACTGTATATAAGACAACGAAAATATACGGTTAACTACCAGTAGCTGGATTGTGATTTGTCATGGATAAATTACAGATTAAATCAATGGAAATGAAGTTGACCTAAGACCTAGTATGAAACTGACTACAGCTTAAATTTCATTTTGCAGGAATACAGATATGAAAGTACTTTGCATTTAGAACACTGGGTCAGATCTAAGGGCCACCGACAAAGCAGCAGCATCCAAATCAGTTGCTTACTTACGTTAATATTGTGCTTACCAACACACATAATTTCTAACGTTGATGGAGATTCATCTAAAATTTAAACAATCCAAACATGGAAAAGCAAAGGTGGAATGAGTCAGAAGTACTATAACTCCTCAAGAAACAGTCATCAAGGAAAAAGGCAAACACAAAGACATCAGAAGTACTATAACTACTCAAGAAACAGTCATCAAGGAAAAGGCAAACACATAAACATCAAGCAGTAAATAAGTCCAGTTTCCTCACATATAAGCCCAAATAGTGCAGCGGTGGCGGATCCAGCTCCAGCAATGTTGAATACATCATCCACACCCCGCTTATCAGCGAGAAGGTTCTGTAAGCCAATAAAAGCAGAAGTAAACAACCCTAGCCGGACACCACCCACTATCGAACCACGTGCCACCCGGACAAACCTCTTCTCCATTGCATCTCTCATTAATCTGTACTGCTCACGCTTGTCTGGTGTGCTTCCAAGCTTTAACATCACCTCTGCATCCTTGCTCTGCATATGAAGAATATAAACTATTATTATCAATCACCTTAGAGGAGAAAAGGAGAAGAAGCCACATTCATTTCTCTAATTTCTCATTAAGGTTTTTATCGTTTCTACGATCATAGGGTGGCTAAGGAACGTGGCGTTTAAATGGATGATCACTAACAACTATGTTTTATACACGGGCAAAGGAGAAAAGAGACACTATATCTATATGCAACAAAGCAAATTCCTTGAAAAGAAAAGTTGAAATTGATCATATGCTAACTTAAGTGAGACCTGGACTAAAAAATATCAACTTACACTTACACAACAGCCACAAAAGAAGTTGTGAAACTTATAGGCACTCTGCTAAATAGCCACATATATTATCCTGTATGTGGAAAATAAACAAAATAAAATAAAGGTAAAAATGCTTCCAGCCCTCAAAAGCAAGAAAAAGTACTTCCCACCCCCAAGACTTTGTCAACGGGTGTTTTACCCCCAAAAATAAAGATTATGTTCTCTGAGACCCCAAAACATAAAACCCAAGAGATTAAAATATGTGAAGACCATAATACCATTCTCTCTCTTTCTTTTTTTATTAAAATATGATGAGGATTATTTTATTATTTTCGTTTTCTCTCTCTTTATCATGATGTACTGAGATGATAGTTGAAATGATTGATGAAGATTATTTTATTATTTTCGTTTTTTATTATTTTCGTTGTTTGTATTGGGAGATTGTTAAAGTTACGGGTTAATTATTAAGGTTACGAGTTAATTGTTAATGTTAAGGATCAATTGTTAAGGTTATTAATCCTCTCTCTCTCTCTATCATGATGTTACTTTGATGATATTGAAATGATTGAAGAGGATTATTATTTTATTATTTTCGTTTTTTATTCTTTTTGTATTTTTAGAATATTCGTTGTTAAGGATAATGGTTGGTTGTAAAGATTATGCATTGATTGTTATAAGGATAATGGTTGGTTGTAAAGATTATGCATTGATTGTTAAGGTTACGGGTTGGTTGTTAAGGTTACGAGTTTGTTGTTACGGTTATGGGTTTGTTGTGTAGGTTACGGATTTGTTGTGTAGGTTACAGATTTGTTGTTAAGGTTACGGGTTTAATTGTTAAGGTTACGGGTTTAATTGTTAAGGTTACAGGTTTAATTGTTACAGTTACGGGTTTAATTGTTAAGGTTACGGGTTTAATTGTTAAGGTTTCGGTTTAATTGTTAAGGTTATCGGTTTAATTGTTAAGGTTACGAGTTTAATTGTTAAGGTTACGGGTTTAATTGTTAAGGTTACGGTTTAATTGTTAAGGTTACGGGTTTAATTGTTAAGGTTACGGATCAATTGTTAATGTTATGGATCTCTTCTCTCTCTCGTAACCTTAACAATTAAACCCGTAACCTTAACAATTAAACCCGTAACCTTAACAATTAAATCGTAACCTTAACAATTAAATCGTAACCTTAACAATTAAACCGTAACCTTAACAATTAAACCCGTAACCTTAACAATTAAAACCGTAACCTTAACAATTAAACCCCTAACCGTAACAATTAAACTCGTAACCTTAACAATTAAACCCGTAACCTTAACAATTAAACTCATAACCTTAACAATTAAACTGTAACCTTAACAATTAGACCGTAACTGTAACAATTAAACCTGTAACCTTAACAATTAAACCCGTAACCTTAACAATTAAACCCGTAAGCTTAACAATTAAACCTGTAACCTTAACAATTAAACTCGTAACCTTAACAATAAATCTGTAACCTACACAACAAATCCGTAACCTACAAAACAAACCCATAACCGTAACAACAAACTCGTAACCTTAATAACCAACCCGTAACATTAACAATCAATGCATAACCTTTACAACCAACCATTATCATTAACGAATATTCTAAAAATACGAAAAGAATAAAAAACAAAAATAATAAAATAATAATCCTCTTCAATCATTTCAATATCATCAAAGTAACATCATGATAGAGAGAGAGGATTCATAACCTTAACAATTGACCCGTAACATTAACAATTAACTCGTAACCTTAACAATTAACCCGTAACTTTAACAATCTCCCAATATAAACAACGAAAATAATAAAAAACGAAAATAATAAAATAATCCTCATCAATTATTTTAACTATCATCTCAGTACATCATGATAAAGAGAGAGAGAAAACAAAAATAATAAAATAATCCTCATCATATTTTAATAAAACAAGAAAAAGAGAGAAGGGTATTATGGTCTTCACATATTTTAATCTCTTGGGTTTTGTGTTTTGGGGGTTCAGAGAACAAAATCTTTATTTTTGGGGATAAAACACCCGTTAACAAAGTCTTGGGGGTGGGAAGCACGTTTTCTTGGCTTTTGGGGGTTGGAAGCATTTTTCCCTAAAATAAAACATTTCCCACATTTTATTATGATTGGTATTAGATCAGCTGATGACCATGCCAATATAATGTGCAAATGAGGAACTTGATTGAAGATTGAGAGCATTTTTCTTTTTCTTTCTGAGAAAAAATTGGTTCCATGCTAGAAAACAACTACTGAAGCTATAAATATACTAAGATGGTTAATGGGCAGATGTAGGAGGAAAGAAGAAATGCAAATGGTTAGGATAAAGCTTATACTAGAGTGCCTGTGGAACTTATGTGGTGGGTTTAGAAAAGAATCATGTATGTAACTTGTGCATGAACTAGGATGTGATTAAAAGATGTATTTGATAGAGAAACAACTATCATAACAAAAAGTGGAAGAAAGATGGTGCATTCCCCATTAGTGTAAGCCTGCATCAAGGTTAGAATTTAAGATTTTTATCTCTACATGTTAGTTCTGGTGTGCTTACCAGCATATTTAAGAAGATTCTGATGGTGTATGTTGTAATGACATAGCTATAGTTGATAAGCATAGAGAATGAATAAGTTTCAAACTAGAAATGTGGAGAGGAACTCTTAGATCTAAAAAAAAGATTTAGAACCAATAGAACAAAAACATAATAGACAATTATAATATCAAACATGGTCTATGGAATAGAATGTGGTAATTAAGAAACCATGTGTTTATAAAATGAGCGTAGCACGAAAGAGAATGCTATAATGTTTGACCAAAAACATTGATAAATAGGATAAGAAATAGGTGAATCAGTAAAAGTTGTTTGTTAAGAACAAAATCGGAGAATTGATTAAGATGTTACAGTCATGTGAATGGAGACCGTTATGCGCACTAGTTTGGAGAAATGATAGGATTATACTTAATGAAGCAAGAAAGTCATGCATATAGGCATAAGGAAACTCGGTCAGAGACAGGCACGCAGAGTATACTATCACAACCAAAAAATTGAGTTTGAAATACATCTGATAAGAAAAAAAGACTTATATATTAAAATCTCAAAACTAGTGCATTCATCTATAGGTGCAAATATCGGCCAACAAATCCTAAGTTGAGAAAAATAAGGAAGCATTACAACAGATGCAGAAGCCTCCTTGCTCCCTCCGTATAGCAAGCCAGCAAATACCCCGAGCAAGGTTGTTGTGCCCCAGCGTCCCATTCTTGGGTTTTCCTGAATTAGATTACTACAGTATTAGAATCTATACAACAAGATCAGATCTTTTTTTTGTTGGTTTGATGCATCATAGAAATTAAGATATGCCCATATATTGGGGTTTTTTTTTCTTGGGTTGATATAATTATTAAAAAAACAATCAAAATTACAAGAACAAAGAAAAAAACTAATCCGGAGCAATACAATAAGAAAATAAATGAATAATAATAAAGGGAACCGATGTAAAGAGAAAGATGGCACCTTTGAAATCGTGTCCTCCTCCTGTGGTGGTTTATCATCAGGGGATGACATGATCGAGCACGAAGGCACTAAGAAAGGTATAAGATTATTAGTATTATCAAACAGAACCCTAATTTCTTAAAATTTTCTTTCTAAGATAGCTATCAGTATTCAGTAAGCAAGCATTGAAGGGGAGAGAACAATGAAATGAAGCAATTTGATACGAGGAGAAGTTCCTAGGGCTTTGCTTATTTTGTTTCTCGGTTCAACTCCGACCGTTTTAGTCAACCAAACCCCAAAAGAACCGACCCGGTCTACTCACCATCGCTTCACATATTTTGATGGGTTCCTTAGATGCTGCTAGTCCCTTAACTCCATACCAGTCCCTTGTATCTCAATATTTGCTCATTAGTTCCTCAGATATATAGGGCTCTCGCAATTTCGTCCCTTTGTTAGCTTTCCTGTAATTTTCACAAACCATAGTTGGATAACCCTAAACCCAATATGTGAAATTGCCTAAATATCACCTCTAGTATCTGTTGGGACAAACCCCGGGCCCAATAAAGCAGGGTCGCGGCAATAGTAGAGATAAAAAGTTGGACACACAGATTTACGTGGTTCGGTACTTGATTGCCTACGTCCACGGGCAAGAATAGAAGAATCCACTATAAGGAGAAAAACTCTGGAGTTACAAACTCTCTCTCTTTTCAAGGAGAAACTCTCTCTATTTTTTCTCTCTCATTCTTCTATATAAGAAGTTGTTTCTGGGATGAGATTTCCTTAAGGATTTGGAGCCTATTTATAGGATTTTAAAAAACACTATGTACAATAAAATATTAATATTTTACTATGTTGTGGGACCCGCAAAATTTGTTTTCTTTTCAAATGTCAAAGAACCAGTTGGTGAGTTTTTCGGTCGTGGGGCCCACGCGCTCCTTTTTCAACCATTGCGGCTGTGGGCTTTCGGCGCTGTGGCTTCATTAGGCGTCTGACAATCTCCCACTTGAAGATTTGATTGACTGTCAATCATATCTTCACACCATTCTTTCTATCTTGCCATTTTCATGTTGCTTACGTCTCTGACAGACCACAGGAGGATCTACACCAAATGAATTTGTCAGTATTGACTGTTTTTGTTAAAAAATCCTGCTAGGTTATCTTTGGTGTGAATTTTCTGCATATCCACTGTTCCTTCTTCCACTTTCTCACGAACGAAGTGATACTGAACTCGAATGTGCTTGGTCTTTGAATGAAAGGCTGGATTTCTTGCCAAATGCAAAGCACTCTGACTGTCACAAAATAGAGAAATCTTCTTTTCTTCATGGTCGAGTTCCTCCAGCACCATCTTCAATCACATCGCCTCTTTACTAGCTTGTGTAGCTGCTACATATTTTACTTCTGTTGTTGAAGTAGCCACAACTGACTACAGTTTTGAAACCCAGTTTACAGCTCCGCCAGCAAGTGCAAACACATAGCCTGTGGTGGATTTGCTATTATCACGATCACTTGCATAATCGGAATCAACATATCCACTGATAATAAAATCAGATCCCCCATAACATAATGCAACATTTGAGGTTCCTTGAATGTATCTTAGAATCCTCTTTACAACATTCCAATGCTCTTTACCAGGATTAGCCATGTATCGACTAACCACTTCCACTGCTTGTGTAATGTCTGGTCTTGTACAAATCATCGCGAACATTAAGCTTCCCACTGCTGATGCATACGGTACTCAAGACATCTCCATCCTCTCTTCTTCACTGCTAGGACTCATACTGGAGGATAACTTAAAATTAACAGGAAGTGGGGTAGAAATTGACTTACAATCTTGCATGTTAAAATGTCGCAAGATTTTGTTCAAGTAATTCTTCTGAGAAAGCTAAATCTTCCTATTAATTCTATCTTGGTAAATTTGCATCCCTAGAATCTTGTTTGCAGATCCTAAATCCTTCATTTCAAATTCCCTAGCCAACTGAGCCTTTAATTCTTTGATATGATATTTGTTGGGGCATGCAACCAACATGTCGTCAACATACAACAATAAAATAACAAAGTTATTTTCACCAAACCTCTTGAAATATGCACAAGGGTATGAATTAAGTCTGTTGTATCCAAGGCGCATGATGAATGAATCAAATCTCTTATACCAACACCTCGGCGCCTGTTTTAGACCGTACAGAGATTTGTTCAATCTGCAAACCAAGTTCTCTTTTTCTTTTTCTTCAAAACCTTCTGGTTGGAGCATGTAAATTTCTTCTTTTTCTTTTTCTTCAAAACCTTCTGGTTGGAGCATGTAAATTTCTTCTTCAAGATCTCCATGAAGAAATACCGTTTTTACATCTAGCTGCTCTAGATGTAAGTCAAATCTAGCGCTCATAGCCAGGACTATTCGGACTGTTGTTAGTCGAACTACAGGAGAAAATATTTTATTAAAATCAATACCTTCTTTCTGAGCATATCCTTTTACCACCAATCTAGCACGATATCGCTCCACTTGATCATCGCCATTTCGCTTGATCTTGTAGCCATTTGTTTCCAATGGTCTTTCTTCCTTGTGGCAGTGACACAAGTTCCCATGTATTGTTCTTATGGAGAGCTTCAATTTCTTCCTGCATTGCTGTCATCCACAAAGATGCATCTGTGTCATTTATAGCTTCATGAAAAGTTGATGGCTCTCCATCTTCTGTTAAAAGACAATATGCAACATTACTCTCCGTAATATACTCCGAGTGCCAAGTCGGTGGCCTTCTCTCACGAGTTGACCTTCGAGTTTCTGGAGCCTCGGACTGGACTGGTTCTTGTACATCATGCTCTGATGTTGCTTCAGAAGAATTCAGATCATCTTCACCTGAACAGCTATAGTCTCTGAGTCCTTCCTCGAACTGCTTTCTTTTTCACCACTTTGTAGTTGATTTAGTCTCTGAGTCCTTCCTCGAACTGCTTTCTTTTTCACCACTTTGTAGTTGATTTTCTACAAAGATAACATCTCTGCTGATGATAACCCTTTTTCACCACTTTGTAGTTGATTTTCTACAAAGATAACATCTCTGCTGATGATAACCTTATGGGTAGTTTGATAATCATATTTTTATTACAATTTTATACTCTCATTATCTATTTTATATGAATAAATATACCACTAATAATTGCTTTTATTTTTAATTACAGGTTAATGAAGAATAAATCTCAAACTCCCATCTCTCAACAAAGACCCTTGAGTAAATGAAGAAATAAGAGAAATTTAAGAAGCCAAAGGAAATATTTGAATTTTAAAAACCCAAAACCCCAAATATCCCAAATGTCCATGAGAGTTCTTCTTTTTATTTTCACAAGTGATGGATGTACAGCTGCAGGTTTGAATTTCTTCAATGGGCCGACTTTGGACTTGCTTGTTCAATTTCTTTTTGGAAAATCAAATGAAGCTTGGATGCAAGGATTGGACCGGTTGCTTTGGATATGCCATGACCGGACAATGGACTGTGTGCTACATATTTTGATCTCCAAAGGATTTAATTGGGACCGGACAAGTTGCTGTAGCTGAATCAAATGGGCCGAATTTGCTTTAAGACTCAAGGACTTGGACTGTTGGAATAAAATGGCTTGGGCTTTAAAACCGGACTTGGTGGAGTTGCTGCCTTGGTTTTTTACAAGAAAATTATGCAAGTGGGCCGGACTTCATTTGAGAACTTTTGTTTGGTCACTCTAACTAGGTCATTTAATATAACACACAAATCTTTCCCAGAAATGAAGAAGGTACTTTAGCAAGTCAATCAAGTACAAACCGTGAAAATTCCTCCAATGAGAGCACAGACATTTGTGATGAAATGGGAAAAAGACTTCGGATACACTTTGGATGCTTGTAAAAAAAAAGAAATCCAAACTATTGGGACCATTCTTTTGTCTTCTGATACGGGTAAATGAAATGGGCTGCACACTTGATTTTTTAAAAAACCAAATGAAGACATGGACCGAATTTGAGATTGGATTTTGAAAATCATTTTAATGAATGGGCCGGACTTGCAATGTTCATTATCTTCTTGGAAAATTAAATGAAGATTGGGCCTTGGAAAATCAAATTCAAAGGTGGAGATTATTGCTTGGGGCTCAAGACAAATCCAATGGCTCATATTCATTGAAGATTACTATAAATAGGGGTAGAGAGTGAGGGGTTAAGGGTGTAAAAATTTTGTAAACTCCTTTTGGAGAGGAGGGCTACTCTTAATTGAGAAGGCCTTCCAAAAATTCTAACTTTAGTTGCAATTAATAATAATAATTTTTTCACCACTTTAAATTTTTCTCTTCTTCTCTTTGTTGGATGATGAAGATGAAGATGGAGATGAAGAATTATTTGAAGGTTTGCATTTCTTTCTTTTTCTCTTTTATTGCTTATTAGTGTAGATTTATTTCTATGCTTGTAGTTTAGATTTTATTTTCTTGTTAAATAGCCAAGAGGCTAGAACCCTCTTGCCTTAGATTTATTTCATGCTTATAGAGTAGATTTATTTTCTTGCATTTAATTCTTGCAATTTTATTTTGTAGTTTAGATTTTGCACTTTATTTTGTAGTTAGATTTTAATTTCTTATACTATTCACCTTGAGGCTAGAACCCTCTTGGGTTTAGTTTTTCTTTTTGTTTATTTTTATTTTGTTTGATTCGCCTTTAGGCTAGAACCCTCTAGGGAATCACCCTTTTCTAAGAAGTGGGTTCAATTGTAGATTACCCATATCTATAATTGAATCCACCATCTTTAATTTCTTGCATTTTCTTTTATTCTTGAATTTTATTTTCTTTATTCTTGATTTTTATTTTCTTTTTCCTTCTTGCCTTATTGATCATATTCATTCTTTGTCACATCCACTCTCACTTATATTTCGTGTCGATTTACACACTATCACTTCCACTCTCTCTATCTCTCCACAATCACATTCACTCATCACTCCTATTTGTCACGCACACAACATAAGAACCGATTTTATATTTTCTCCTACAAAACACCTTCCTCGTGAGATCGATATCTTAAATACTATAACTTGACACGGTTGTGCACTTGCAACCTTTTTGGTACATAATTATGCCGCATCAGTAGTTGGATCCCACAGGCGATACCCCTTTACTCCATCAGCATACCCCAAGAATATGCATTTTCTGGATTTTGAATCCAGCTTTGTAATTTCTTGGGCATTGTACATTACGTACACTGGACTTCCAAATATATGGAGGTTAGTATAATCA